ACAATCCTGTAGGTCACACTAACGACACAAGTTCTTGTTTAATGATAACAGAGGATCGTGTTGTTGTTGTTTTTAAAAAAGATCATTTAAAAAAATAAACTTTTGAGTTTCTTCCATATAATGCTCCTTCTTGCCCAATTTTTTTTTCCCCCATCGGGAGTGGGTGGGAAGTGACGTGTATAAAAAAAAAATATTCCACAGTTAGAAAGAACTTGTCAGGATATACATTAGCTGGGATTTTGTTATGCCTATTCTAATGAAATACATTGTTCTTTCATTTCTGTACAGACCTAGGATCCATTTGTAAAAGTGACAATGTCAGCCTCCTTAGGATATCGCTGGTTTTAAGAGCAATAAAATTATCTGGAACACAATGCATGCTTTACTTTTTGTTTGTTCCCAGTTGTGATCAAATAATCAACCGTATTTCTTCGCCTAGCTAAACAGAAGCATAACAGCCTGCAGTGTTATTACTCTCCTTGCTTCAGTGAGAAATAGCATTTATTTTACTCTGACACAGCTAATCTGTTACCAATTAATTATTATGTAAATTGTCTATAAAAGTTGATGCCAATTCAGAAGCGGTGAATGCTCCAATGCTGGAGGCTTTTAAGAAGGGACTGGACAGCCATTTGTCTGAAATGGCATATGATCTCCTGCCTGAGCAGAGGGCTGGACTAGATGACCTCCAAGATCCCTTCCAACTCTTGTTATTCTGATTCTTCTACCAGCAAAAATAGACAGACTGAACTTCTTAAATCCTCATCAACAGAAAGGCTGTCTTGATTTCCACTGATGAATTTGTCACACAGCGACGGTGTGGTTTTTTTAAACCACGCTTTTTGCACCACGACAACGGAAGGTAAGTTTTAGTTTCACAAACATGCTTCAGATTTTCAAATGTTTTTAATCAACCATAAATCGCCGTAGCTTTTAGCCTGATCTAAATATATAATGTGGTCACCAAAGTAAGTTTAATTTGTGGTGGGGTTGGTTTTTTTTTAAAGTTTAAGGAGAAAGAGGCCTGACCCATCAATATATAATGTAATCATAGTTTATTCTTTTAGATTAGTAAAAATCCATTTGAAGGTAATATTAAAAAGAGCAAACGGTAAATATTTAAAGGTGACCATTTTGTCAATGCTCTATTCTGATCGTTTTATTTCGCTCTCAGTTTTAGTTCCTTAACTTTAATAAATGGAAGCATTTGGGAAATACCAGACCTTGTGACACATGCATAATAACCTTCAGTTGCCTATTGTGAAAAAGAAAATAAGATTTCTGAGATCAGGTGGATACAGCTTGCTATGAAAATCTCCCACCCAGTGTAACAACTTTGTCACACTCACACACACACACACACACACACCCCTCAGATAATATTTCTATGCCTGAAAATATGTTTGGTGTTAATGACTCACAATTAGATTCTACCTACGAACCAGTCTCCCTAACATTAAAAACAACCTACGTGTTTAATATTAAACAATCATCTTGATAAATGCAATATTTTTACACTCCTGGTGTGCAATCGTGAGTTTCCAACTCCCATCTTCAAACTGAGGAGTCTGGGAAGCATCAGTTTTCTACTTTTATTGGGAAAGGTATTAGAGCAATATTATCTTCATGTTGCTTGACAACCAATTAGAAAATGACAGTATTGCTAAGAACTGATAAAGGTATTGGACGTGTGTTTTATAAACAAATTACGGTAAGAGTCATAACCCCATCTGGGATAATATTAGTCATGTAATAGCCAATAGGATGCATTTGGGAAGTAAACCTGAGTAATAAAAATAGTAAATTCCCCAGCAGCCACTCTGTAAGGTATATTCCGCTGGCTATTTTTCGGGGATTATAAAAAGCAACCGATATAAACAAACTTTGATCAAAAGCCTTTATACAACTATCCAGCTTGAAACCATTATCACAAGTGATGGCAATCATGTCACTGGGCTGTGTGAAAAAAAGTATTTTACAGAATATGGAATCACAAGAGTTGGAAGGGACCTTGGAGGTCATCTAGTCCAACCCCCTGCTCAGGCAGGAAACCCCATACCATTTCAGACATATGGCTGTCCAGTCTCTTTTTAAAAACTTCCAGAGTCAGAGCATTCATAACTTCTGGAGGCAAGTCATTCCACTGAATAATAACAACAACAATAATTATAATAATTAATAGTAATAATAGTAATAATAAAGCAACTATTCTTTATATGTTTTAGCCTCCAGTCCCCTGATCATCTTTTGTTGCTCTTCTCTGCACTCTTTCCAGAGTCTCAACATCTTTTTTACACCCTGCTGACCAAAACTGGACGCAGTATTTTTGAGTTTTCTGCCTTTAATTTCAAAGGATGACATCCAATTTTAACACTGTAAAGAATGGCCAAAAAAAACCCTCCAGCTCTTGGCGTTATTATCTTGGCATTTCTAATAATTGCCAAGTAAGATATTTCTATCTTTTTCAATTTTGTAAAGAGCTAAATAGTATATTGTGTGAGAGACCTATTTGAGAGAGATGGATGATTCAGAAACGTGAATAAATATCAGAGTTTTTTTTTTAAAAAAAACCTTATCAATAGGTTGCAAATATACTGCTCACAAAAATAAAGGGAACACAAACGTATAGGATCCTATACGTTTGTGTTCCCTTTATTTTTTTGAGCAGTATATTTTAATTTAAATGTCCATATTCTTCCAGAATTGGAAGTATTAACAAATGAAAACGGTGCCTCCTAGATGTGAGAAGCTAAGGAAAGGTGCTGTCTATACGCAATATTCATGGACCATAATTTAAAGAATAATACTTTTAAAAAGTTTTCCCTTTTAAGAATCTGTGGTCTCTCTTGAAAACAGAGCACATTATTTTTCCAAGAATCATCTTGCTCCTTATTTAATAATCATCTCCTTTGCTTCGAGAACTTATTTAACGTTCATCTGTGTTGTCAATAAAACTTGCAGGCAACACTTACCACCTTTAAAAAAACAATATTTACTCTGTCTGGGAAACACTTTAATATTTGTTTGTACTGATAAACGTGTAGCTGGACACAATGTGAGCTTTATTGCTTCTTATTCTCTTACCAAGGATTTCATCCTGCTGAGCAAACAGTGAGCAGACTGGCAACTGCAGTCGCAATTTATTAAGAGTAGCCATTGTGATGATTCGGCACGCGGAAGAGGAACCACTTTTGAAAGTGGATCTGACATTTCCACAATAGTGATTAATGACTTCTCAGGGAGGGTTGTGGCTGCCTGCCCTCGTTAGTGATGTCACCACCGTAATGACAGAGTGATGCAACAGTTGTGTGAAATTGTTCAGCACTTGTGTGAAAATGGTTGTAGGCTCCAGTTTTCGGTATGCTGAGTATCTGCTGCTTGACAGTCCGTCTGTCCACAGTATCATTTCTACCTCTAATATCAATATATCATGTTTATCTATATTGATCCATTTATATCATCTATCGATCTATCTATATCAATCTAGGTATCTATCAACCTATCTGTCAATCATCTATTGAATATATCACTTATTATCTATATCTCTCTTCTAGCTATGATCTATTATTTATCATGTCTCTATCTATCCTATCGTATTATCTATTATCTAATCCTATCATCACCTCTCTCTCCTGCCTTTATTTAATATCTAATAACAAATATTTATAATCATTAATATAAGTGTGTGTAATAGGACTTGCTTGATCAGCTACACTCCACGTCCCGCAGAGCAGAATAGCTGCAGTTGTTGACAGCTCGCTTGTCCTAGGACCATCACTGTGTATGTATGATTTTTAAAATGTATTTCAATATTTAAACACCCCAGAACTGTGAGTGTTGCTGCATCATTTCAGTCTACACATAACCTAACTTCACTGTAGCCAACTGCTGTTACGTTGGAAAGAACGCTGCCAAGAACCCTTTTCATTTCCCATAATCAAAATGTCTGCAATATTGCAGCCATAGACAACTCCCTGGTTTAGGATTTCCTGGTGGTCTCCCATCCAGGCGCTACCCAATCCTTACAGGGCGCAAAAAGGCTCAAAGGAATTTCCTGGTGGTCTCCCATCCAGGCACTACCCAATCCTTGCAGGGTGCAAAAAAGGCTCAAAGGAATTTCCTGGTGGTCTCCCATCCAGGCACTACCCAATCCTTGCAGGGTGCAAAAAAGGCTCAAAGGAATTTCCTGGTGGGCTCCCATCCAGGCGCTACCCAATCCTTACAGGGTGCAAAAAAGGCTCAAAGGGACTTCCTGGTGGTCTCCCATCCAGGCACTACCCAATCCTTACAGGGCACAAAAAGGCTCTAAAGTATTTCCTGGTGGTCTCTCATCCAGGCGCTACCCAATCCTTACAGGGTGCAAAAAAGGCTCAAAAGGATTTCCTGGTGGTCTCCCATCCAGGTGCTACCCAATCCTTACAGGGTGCAAAAAAGGCTCAAAGGGATTTCCTGGTGGTCTCCCATCCAGGTGCTACCCAATCCTTACAGGGTGCAAAAAGGCTCAAAGGGATTTCCTGGTGGTCTCCCATCCTGGAGCTAACCAATCCTTACAGGGCGCAAAAAGGATCAAAGGCTTCAAACTCTACGGCGGCGGAGGAGACAAAAGAAGCCCATCACTAGCCTGCTTCATCTCAACAAATCCCGCCGGGCTTCCCACCCCCCCCCCGGCTTTTTATACTCTCCGCCCCGCCCCCTTTTCTTGCCCAGCCTACGCCCCGCCCCCAATTCTGGCCTGTTCCATTATTGACCTCCGGATCGCCCTTCCTCCCTTGATCAAAAAGCCCGGTCGAAAAGAGCTGTCTTTGCGGAGGGGGGGGGGAGAGAGGAGAGAAAGAGAAGGAGTTGGTACATTCCGAGAGGCAGGGAGGGAAAGCGGGAAGAGCAGGCGCGCCTCGGCGCGCAGGCGCAGGTGTTCAGGGGTGGGCGGGAGGGGGGGAGAGGAGGAAATCTCGCGACCGCATCCCCCCGCGCGCGCGGGGTGGGGGTGGGGGTTGTCCCTCAGGAAGAGGAGGAGGAGAGACAGACAGCGCTCCCAAGGAGGGGGAGAGAGAGAGAGAGAGAGAGAGAGAGAGAGAGCGCGCCTGCGCACGAGCGAGCGAAAGACGCGCTTCAACCCGTGAGGGGAACGCGCCTGCCGGGCGCCTGAGGCGAGATGCCCGCCGTTCAGAAGACCGTGTCGGAGCTGCGGTCCCGGGCGGAGGGTGAGTGGCCGGCCGGGGGGGGGGTGTGGAGGGCGAGGAAGAAGCCCCGAGCCTGAGGGGAGGGTCGCTGGTGGGGTTGGAAAAGGAGGCGCAGCCCCCTCAGCGCGGCTTCTCCTCCCTCGCTTGGCCCCGCCCGGAGGTCCCATGGGGGGGGGCTTGAACGCAGCCCCCCCCGTCTGCCTCCCCCTCCCCTCTCGGCTCGTGGCCCGGCCTTTTCCCCCCGTCCCTCCGCCAGGCAGAACCCCGGGGCTGGAGGGGACCCTGGAGGTCGTCTAGTCCGACCCCCCCCTGCCCGAGGAAGGAGACCCACCTCGCCAGTCTCTTCTGAAAAGCCTCCATTGTATGCAGTTGAATACTTGTGCAGGCTGAGGTTGGGAGGGGTCTCAAGAGGTCCTCTAGTCTGACCCCCCACCCTCCCTGCCCAAGGCAGGAAGCCTCACGTTATCCCAGACAAATGGTTATCCAGTCTCTTCTTTAAAAAAACTAAATTTGTGCAATTTAATACTTGTTCACTCTATGGTTCAGATGACTCTTGACTAAAGGGGTGGAAGGGACCTTGGAGGTTGTCTAGTCCAACCCCCTTGCCCGAGGCAGGAGACCTCATTCCCAAACAAATGGCTGCCCAATCTTTTCTTGGAAACCTCAGCAATGGAGCAGCCACAACTCCAGGAGGCAAAGTGTCCCACTGATCCATTGTTTTCCCTGTCAGGAAATTCCTCCTTAGCTTCCACCCATTGCTCAGGTCCTATGGAGTTTCAATTGACCCCTTCTTCCCTATGACAGCCCTTCAAGTATTGGAAAATACTATTATTCTATCCCTAATCCTTCTCTTCATTAGCCTAGAGCCTTACTTAGTTCCTTAACACATTCATTGTACGATTGAGCCTCCAGACCTTGAAGTATCTGCAGAGGTGGGTCAAAACACACCAAGGTGGCCACTGTACCCCCAGCCTCAAACTCTCACCCCATTTTACATCCATCAGTGTAAAAAGAAGGGAGGTCTTATTCTGGCAAGGCTGGCATTTTGACTTTTTTGACCACCTCTTCAATTATCCAGCTCCTTTAAAACACTCTGAGTCACTAATGGGAAAAATAACTATCATGTCTTCTTGGTGTCTGCTTTTGCCAATTCCACCCTTTTGGTCCTCCTGCTTCCTGAATGGAGTTTCTTTTCCCCAACAACTGACACCTCTTCCCCAATAATTAAATAGTCACGTGTTTCATGCAAATACCAGTAATCAATAATGGTTGATGGTGGTCTTAGGGGAATGGCAGCCCCTAGTTGGGTGAGGAAAGGGTTGGATGGTTTTGAATGGATCTCAAGGCTGTAGAAGGTTGAGCTTGATTGAAAAATCTTTGCCTTTTTACCTTCAACTTTGCGTCATATTTCACAAGAGCAATAGGAAGTGGCTCTCCCTGGTATGTTAAAATTCTGTTTTCATGGCTTTTGCTGTTTGCTAATAGTTTTCTGGACTATTTTATGTTACAGTGAAACAAACAGAATAAATTAATATTGATAAGAGTGTGGCTGAGATGGGATTTGGTAGTCCTAGGCCTGTGAAATGCTGATAAATACCCCCAGATTCCTCAACATCTGGGAGTGTTGGGGTATTAGGAAAAAATGTTAACTCATCTTTACTGAAATAAAGGGAACGACAAAATAGCCTAAAACAAATTGAAGAGAATTATTGCCCTTAGAGAATTGTTTGACGCTGAGAGATTTGGTTGCCGAAGCCTTTGATAATAATTTATGAGGTATATAGCATCTCAGTTTACAAGGTGTATCTCAGGCTTATTCTTGCCCCAGGTTGTGGTCAAGGTTAAAGGAATCCATAGGAGGAGATTTATTTGTTTTCCTGAAGTGTAGCAGAAGGTGAATGGAGAACCCTGGCTGTACACAGTGAGATTACCTCTCATGGTTTCATGTCGTATTGCTCAGTGTTCTCTGCAGCATGAGAGAGAATAAGAGAAAACAACCCATTCTGGATTGAATCCCTTAGATTTGTGATCAAATGAGAAGCTCCTGGTTATCTACCTCCAAATCTCGTCAGCGATATAATGCAATTTCATTCCAATATATGAGAACTACCAGGACTCAGATTTAGAGATGAGCAGAAAGCTATTACTCTAAGGAGAATATTGCACTTAATAATGGAACTCTTTTGCAAAAGGGGGGAAAATTTGCAAACATTTGATCTATCCTGATCAAAAGTATTAGAGAATTTATTTTCTTTTAATCATCAAAACAGCATGATTTCAGCTGGTGTTGTATATTTAAAATGAAATTAGATGCCACCATGCACTTTCAATTAGGTTGTACTTCACATAATTAAAATTGTTACTCTACTTTTGGAGGTTTTTTAATTAGTTTTTTATTTTTTTGCAATTTTTGGAACTGGATAGGCACAATTAAAAATCCAACACAACTTTTCTTAATGTAAATAAGTAATGTAATAAATTGATGAACAGTTCAGTCCTGTTCAGTTCCAACATTCCCCATTGACAATACTATTCAATTTGTCAAAACTGAATGTATGCCTGCACTATAGTATGTCTGAAATACATAATAAAGAATTCTTAAGTTTATTTTTATAGCCAGCATATCTGCAAGTGAAAGTTTTTGCTTTCTTCTTGCTTTGTTTTTGTTCTGCTGATGCAAGAAAGAGAAAGTTCTGTATATATCTGCTGTAATACAGCACTAAGCAAAACATTAAGATAAAAGCTTTTGTCATGCTTTACTCCACTATAAATATTTCTGTTGTATTCCTTTTTCTTCATAGAAAAAATATTTCTTAGCATTAATCATAATAAACACCTACAACCGTCTGTTTTTCATTACAGTATTAAATATGTGAATATGCTTATATAATTGTGTAAAAGTATATTAATATACGGCTGAAACATTAGACATTAATATTTGAAAATAATCTTCATAAATCATTTCTGATAAATCTACTAATTAGTACTAATATAAGTACAGTACAGAAATGTATGTTTATTAGACTTTGTGTGAACTAGTATATAATTTAAAATTTTCAGCAGGGAGCAATATTCTGTTTATTAGTTTTACTAATGACTAAGTAGTAGTTATTCGCATTAGTACCTAATATTTATCATATAAGTAGAATTGAGTGTACTACTATGGAAAGAATATATCTGAATAAATTATTGCAAGTTTTCAGTTTCCTTTTTTGTGAGCTTAAATAACGTGCTTACCTTTGTTTTACCCCTCTAAATTAAAAAGAAACAAAGCTGTTTGTGAAATATACAAGGCACATACCCATTTGTTTTAAAAGGGTCTACAAAATGCCATTTGGGCAAGTTCTGTTAGTTTTCTTCTCCTCTTGAGCAGCCAGGATGATAAACTTTGCTTCCATCTGTTCTTATCAATCACATGAGCCGGGCCATTCAAAGGAATGAGTTACAAAGATTGCTCAGAAAGCAAATGGGATCCGAAGTTACCTGTAGCTTTTGTAGTTTTTCTTTTCAGAAGGACAAAGCTATATAGCAGTGATGGCGAACCTTTTAGAGACCGAGTGCCCAAAAACCACCCCCCTCACCCCCGTCCCTGCTCTGCCCTGCCCGCTGGGCCACCCACCACCTCCACGGCCTGCCACAGATCACGCCTTCCACCCGCGCCCTGCAGCATCATCTGCATGCAATGGGGCGCAATGGCGGAGTCGTGTCCCTGCTACCCGGCTACCATGTACTTGGCTGCGCTTCTTTGCATGGGCCGTGCCCGGGGGCAATTCTCGGGGGGGCTGCTGGGGAGGAGGGGGCCATGGGAGGAGGCGGGGCTGGAACGACAGTGCGTGTGCCCACAGAGAGGGTTCCGAGTGCCGCCTCTGGCACGCGTGCCATAGGTTCGCCACCACTGCTATATAGCATTTTCTTGTTTTTAAAGAGACGGCTGTGAAAGTAGGAAGCTGCAAGGAGCTTTGGGGGCTGGATGGCCAGCACAGGTAGTCCTCGACTTACGATCGCGGTTGAGCCCAACTGCTGTTAAGCGGGACATTCGCTAAGTGAGTTTTGCCCCATTTTACGAACTTTGTCGCCACCGTTGTTAAGGGAATCACTCCAGTTGTGAAGTTAATAGCACTGTTGTTAAGTGGATCTGGCTTCCCCATTGATTTTGCTTGCCTGGGAGGTCACAAAAGCGGATCGCCTGGGACGCTGCGACCGTCATAAATATGAACCAATTGCCAAGGCTCTGAATATGGGTCACGTGACCATGGGGCACTGCAAGGGCCACAAGTGTGAAAAACGGTCAATCATTTTTTCAACGCAGTTGTAACTTTGACCGATCAGTAAATGGACTGTTGTAAGTTGAGCATTACCTGTTACCTAGTTTTCTTTCTCTCCTGTGAGATTAGCAGGCCTTGGGAAATTCTTTTTTTTTTTTAACAACATTTTATTAAATTTATATAAGTGAGGAAAAATAGGAACAATACAGGTCTGATAAAGGGAGAGGTAAAAGGAAAGGGGGAGGGGAAGGAAATAAGGAATTAGGGTAAAATAAGGATAGGTACAATCACATATTTCAACAAACAAGCAACCGTCCGGATCATAATAAGTAAATATCATATTCAACCATTTTTAACAAAGCTTAAACTGTAACGTATTAAAAACAATTCGTAAACAAATACGTTGATCTATTAAGTAAACACTGCTAATAAAATCTCAAAAAAATAAATAAATCCTAACAATCAAAAGTAACAAATGAAAATCAGTAAATCAGGAAAAGTAATCGTATCATCAAAATGTTAGTTAGAACTCGATTAAAAATCAGTCAACTATTCTAAAATATTGAATGCTTCAAATTCTAACGTGTCTCTCAACCTTGACAATTTTAAGGCATCTGGACTTCAACTCCCAGAATCCCACAGCCAGCATTGCTGGCTGTGGAATTCTGGGAGTTGAAGTCCACATGCCTTAAAATTGTCAAGGTTGAGAAACACTGCTCTAACCATTGATAAAATTTTTCGGCCTTGGGAAATTCT